TCCCATACCTCTCTGATTCCCCGGGTACAGGCACCTCATTGACTGAGGTTATTTAGAGGGTAAGTGAATTCTATTCCTAACAGCAAAGAGACCCCAACACAAGTTTAAACAACACCACAATATGCAAAATTTCCTATCCTCTCAAGAGAACCTACAGCAATCTTTTCAACAAGTAGAAAAAAGATGATCTTAGAGGTCTTTTCCAACCTAAATGATTCTGTGATAAGCTCAGAAAACGTAGACTTTCATTATCCCTTAGAAACAAAACAAAAAACCCAAACAATATGCAACTATGTTTTCTTATCTTGGTTGATAAGGCAGACACAGTTTCATAATGTTTTCACACACAAAACCAGAGGACAGCCAGTAAGGACAGCCAGTCAAAAGCAGGAGTACTAACATTGTTTCAGGTGCAGTGAGTAGGTCAATGTGTAAGACCCCTTCCCTAAAACCAACTATATTTTACCACAGATCCTGAACACCTGAACTGACAAGAGGTGAAGCTGCATACAGCCACTGAGGTGACCAGAGCCTCACACTGTCCATGGCTCAGCCCCTGCGTTCAGAGTGTAGGGCACACAGCACACTGTGTCTACAGGGCACTGCAGCACAGACCTACAAACCCAACAAGTCACAGTCACACTCTCCTAATGACTGGGGAGCCAGCACAGCATTACTGTGTGAGAGCTGATTCTGGTTTGTTCACAGTTGTCACTTGTCTTGGATTTGGAGATTCTGTCAACAGTGAACCTGGATCACAGCAGCTGTGTTCACCCTCACAGGCCAGCTCTTCCTACACTGTATTTTTGATAAAGAGGTGAAGCATGGTGCTAATGCAGAAGGAACATAAATTGCAGGGTAGTTAAGCTTGCAATAGGATTCAGAGATAGGATGGGATGTCAAGGGCAGGAAGGGCATGAAACAGACTTTGTTCAGCATTCCTCTGGGTTCAGTACATACAGCTGAGTGTGAAACAACTGAGGAAGCTTGCCCATGTCCCAGCAGTTCCTTTTCAGATCTGCACACAGAAAAGTACTAGATAAAGGGAAGCTCAGAAAAGGCAATTCCAGACATTTGAGCATCCCTGCTCGAGGTAGAAGTACCAAAGACTGCTGCAGGCACTGGAGAAGGGGTGGAATCACAGGTGTTGCACTTAGACACATACCATCTAGACTTGTGCCATAGAGTTTGGGACAATCCCAAATGTATGGACCAGTTTCAGTGGTGGCTGACACACATAACATGCATAGTCCAGTCCATACTTCAGGCATCAGTGCATGCATTACCTCTCTCTAACTCTCCCAAGTGCATCGCCTATGTACAAGCACACAAGTTCATCCTGATAAATCTTCCTATTGGATAAAAATCTCTTAAATAAAAGCAGAACTTGGTCACACAGGCCTTTTGCTGGTCCGCTGATTCATCACCTTCCAATGCTTTCTAGCCTGGCACAAAAACCAGAAGCTGAAACTAAACAGACAGCACTAAAATAAATTAGAACGTATTAAAACTGAGCTCCAAAATACCCGTCACGTGCAGAGGAAGGAAAATATCCACACTTGTTTGTATCTTGCAGGCAAAAGAAAAGTGCTCTGCTGTAACTCTCTACCGCTGCTGAACTTGGCACAAATAGCTTGTATCTCTAATAGAAGAGATAGGAAGGAGCAAGGAATTCCGGTTGCTGAGCCTGTACATTGATATGCAAACCAGGCTCTGCCTCGGGGTCTTGGCAGGGTGATAAAGAGGCCTTCAGTTTCGGGCGCGGGAGCTCTGGTACCAAAGCCGCTTCTCACACCCGACAGACCATCCCCTTGTTACCGAACCCCGGCTACAGAATCCACCGGCCAGCTGTACCTACCTCACGCCCTGAACACAACCGCTGCCCATTATTCTAACCGCGTTCAGAGATGAAACACGGGATTACGCGCACCCAACCCCCCCGTTCCTTTCCGGAGAGCGCAGGTGCCCCCCGACGCCGCGGGTACCCGGCGGAGCCGCAGCCCGGAGCCGAGCGAGCCCACGGCGACAGCGCCGGGTGTCACCGCGGGGCAAGCGGCGAGCCCTGGGTCCGGCACCACCGGCCAGCCGGGACACACCGCCCCCCAGCCCTGCCCCGGCCCCCCGTACCTCCTGGTAGGATGCGGACACCTCTGTCTTTAGCATGGCATCGGCGGGAGCGGCTGCCGCGGGGGCCGGGCGGCACCCGGCGGCACCGCACGGGGCCGGGCAGCGACACCGCGCCCGGGACAGGACGGAACAAGCCAATCCGAGCCGAGCCGAGCCGCCCCGGCCGGGCAGGGCCACGCAGGCGCCGGGACCCCCCGCCCATCCCCCGGCTGCTTCCCGCCTCCCGGTTGCTTCCCGCCCCGCGCCAGGGCTTTTGGGAGGCGTAGTCCGGGCAGAGCCGCCGTGAGGGGCCGGGTGGGGGGCGAGCAGCACGGCTCACGCGTGAGAGGGGTTTTGTGGGGTTTGCTGGAACATTTCTCTCTACCAGGAGGTGTGTAGTTCTGCGTAGTGACGGGGAGATGAGTCTTTTCTACAACACGCACTTCTGCTAACACAAGAAGGAGCTAGGTCGGAAAAGCAATTATGATAATTCTGTCAGCTCTCCCCAGACTGCACAAAATATTACTTTTTAATTTTTTTTTAATTTTTATTTTTATTTTCTTCTGCCCGAGGCGGTTAGCAGAACACTGAAACAACAGACTCGCTGGGAAACCAGATAGAACTTCTGCAGGGCTTCTAGGATGACCCACCAACGCTGTGCCCGCAGCAGTGGGGCACTTCAGGAAGATAAAAGCCTAAGAGCTGACTCATGACCCATCCGTCCACAAATACTTACACAGCTATTTTTTTTCTTCGCCAGCATGGAAGTAATTGTTAATGTTTCATCATCAAGAAAAGGCATGCACAACATTTCTTGCGTTGAGATGCAGCACTGCAGGGGATTCCCTGCTCAGTAGATCATTTCCCTATACCCAAGACCCACACCTAGTAAGTTAATAACCAAGGTTTGAAGTCCTTCGACAATAACAGCTTCTCCTTTCAGAAAGAAAACATTTTAGTTCTTGTTATTTTTCAGAAGGTTGTCATTCAAAGACAGGCCTGAAATCACATTTCAGACAGATGCTAGTATTCAGCACTTGCAGCCCTCCCCTGGGGTGACACTAATAAATAATTATTTTAGAATAAAAGGTAAATCTATAATGTGATTGAACCAAACAGACAAATCAGACTTTTGCATCTTTCCCAGCAGCTCTGGGGAAGGCACGTGGGAGATTTGCAGACAGAGCAACCAGGCAAATGCCAGAACTCTTTCTCGCACATAACAGAAGCGTTCACAAGCTGTTTGTCCAAAGCCTTAACAGAGTTCTCTTTTCTGCTTGCCATTTCATACCTGTCTTGTGGCATGTGAAGTCATCAAATGGACGTAATGGGCAGACGGAATGGAAAGCCCATTCAGAAGCCAAGCTATTGTTCAGGCAGTGTAGGCAAACTTCACTGCTTAAGGAGAATCACAGTAACAACCTTGTAAACTTCACCCTAACAAGACCAATACTCAGCTTGCCACACCAGACAGCAGCCTGTGGCAGTCAGCTCCCAGACAGCCACAGCAACTTGGCTTCCCTATGCCCTGGCTCTGCAGGCTTGGCCTGACTCTTTGTACAGGGATGTGGCCCATTGGTTGTCACCCCCATACTGTGGAGACATGCCCTCAGTCCCCTGTGCTTCTCATCTTGTGCTGCTGTTGTCATCCAGAAGAGAACTATGGGAAGTTGCTTTGGATTATCTATTTCAGCTCTGCTTACACCAATGTACAGAATTTCCTTTGGTCAAGAGCTTTACCTCAGGCAATGTGGAACAGGTGTCCTCCGAGGCAGACATATGGATTTTACACAGGAAGAGTTTATAAACAATCCTTAAAATAAACACCAAACCCATTCCTGCCTCCTATTTACTGTTCAGATCCTTCTCCAAACTGTTCAGCTTTCACAAAACTTGTGGAGATTGACCAAGCATGGATTTGAATTCCAGCACAGTAGTCAGGAAGCCTGAATGCTGCAGTATCCAGGCTTTAAATCGTTCAGGTCCTCATTTGCCAGCACTGCAGGGAGGGATGGGATATATGCATCTGAATTGTAAAACGTTTCTAATTTTCTTAATTCTATATGGAATTATAAGCATCAAGCTACTTATTTTTCTGCCAGCCATTAATGTTTTCCTGATATGTATTTATAGCATGGGGAAAACATGTAATCTGAAAATTTCCTATTTATTCTCTCTGTTTTTAGGCTAAAAATGTCTGGGTTTTTTTAAGTCATAAAGACGAAGCCTATCCTATGTATCCTGAGTCTGAATAAACATTCAAAACAGCAAGCAGAAAACTTCAGAAGGGAAAAAGGATGAAAATGAAGGAATCTTTTTTACTACTACATGTGTTAAAGTGCCAGCTGTGCATCCTGTATGGAAAAGAATCATAAAATCGTGTAGGTTGGAAACGACCTCTAAAATCACGGAGTCCAACCATTAACCCAGCACTGCCAAGTCCATCACTAAACCACGTCCTTAAGTGCTACAGCTACACTTTTAAATACCTCCAGGGATGGTGACTCCACCACTGCCCTGGGCTGCCGGTTTCAGTGCTTGACAACTCTTTCTGTGAAAGCACTTTTCCAAACATCCCATCTAAACCTGCGCTGGTGCAACTTGAGACCGTTTCCTCTTGTCCTATTGCTCGTTACCAGGGAGAAGAGACCGACTCCCACCTGGCTAAAGCCTCCTCCCAGGCAGCTCTGGAGAGCGATAAGGTGCCCCCTGAGCCTCCTTATCCCCAGGCTAAGCACTGCGGGCCCCCTCAGAGCTCCGCACGCCGAGCCCAACGCGACTCTTCCTGGGAGCAGCGCCGCGCACTGCGCGCCTGGTTCTTTAACCCCGGTGCATGTACATATCCCACGTCCTTTCCCGCAGCCGGAGCCCGGGCCGGGGCCGGGCGGCGGGAGGCGGAGCGGGGCTGCGCGGCATGGCGGGCGGCGCGGCGCGGCTGCTCCTGTCCGCGCTGCTGGCAGCGCTGCCGGCCGCTCCCGCCGAGCCGCAGCTGCGCTTCAGGCCGCCGGCCGAGGCCCCCGTGAGGCTCTTCACCGAGCCCGAGCTGGCCAGATACGACGGGCAGCAGGTAGGGCCGGCTGGGAGGGGTGCTGGGCGCCGGGGCCGGGCCGGGCCGCGTTCCCTCCTTTCCTGCCGCTCCGTGCCCTGAAATCGCCTTAAAGCTGGTTCTTTCTCTTGCCGTGCTTTGCTTCTGCTGCGCTGTTCCCTCGATCCCTCCGGCCCAGGAATTTTGGGGATCACCTGCCTTTTAGGCACCGTGAGAAGTTTGCAGGCGTCCCCTCTGTTCGTCTGTCCGGCTGGCAGCTGCCCATTTTGAAGCCGCACGCACACAATTAGATGGCATGTGCCTGTTATATTGGTTGCCTGCTTGGCAACGTACTCATGCCAGGGAATTTCAGATTACCGTGAGTTGAAACCAAAATATTTTTCCCTCTGTAATTCAGTAAACCATGTATTTAGACACCCCCCCCCCCCCTTTCTTTTTACAAGATTATGGAAATAACAACACAATTTCAACTTAAAAGTTTTTAGCTTTCTGTGATGCAGAAACCTCAGCAGAACTTCGCATTCAAAACGATGAAGTCCTGTCTTAACACATATCAGCTTCTCCTCTGAAAAAACTTGCTGGCTGACCTTCTCAGGGTCTTCTCCAGATACCTACAAGAAACTAATCAACATCTGACTAAAAATACATCTTATGTGTAAAAGACAAAGCAGAAGCACTGGCTTATTAAGTAAAACAGATGTCAGCAGATTAGATTTGTGTGTTTATGCATTCATCTGTGGTTTCTTAATCAAATAAAGAATGTTGTTGGCCACACACCCTTTTATTGTGGGCAATATCCATCTGTATTAGGAATAGAAAGATGCAGCGGATGGGCTTCAAGCAGACAAGAGGTGACCTGCAAGAGGGATGTCTTCTATGACTGTGTTGTTTAGATTAAAAAGATTCGCTCGTTGTATATTGTTAAAATGTAAAAAAAAAATCAGGGACAGCTTAAAGTACAAGCAAGAAATGTCAAGGGATGGAATGCATACACTGGTATATGCACATAACAAGAGAAAACATACAACAGATAATTTAATTCTCTCCTTTATGTCCTGAATGCTTATGGATTTCATAGCTAAAACTAACTGCCTTTTGCCTACGCTTAAGTGCTGAGGATATATTGATGGCTTTCTTTCCAGGAAGGACAGCCCATCTACCTGGCGGTGAAGGGAGTAGTATTTGATGTTACCTCTGGAAAAGGTTAGTTTGCGTCTCATCTGCTGTCCGCTTTGTTTTCATGTTATTGTTCAGTCATTTGTTTTTAAATATTCCCAGTGTATTAGAAGCCTACAACAAAAAGAACACATTTTCCTCCTTTAAAAAACTTGGTTTTCCTCCTCTGACAGCTCCCCTACAAAGGTTTTGTATAGAACTTACACTGGTTTGAGATTACAGCACACATAGACAAGCCAGCACTGTCCAGTTAGCTTGGACACTGCTGACAGAAATGCTGAAGACACCTACCCAGACCCCTGAGTCACCACATGTGGGGTCAGGCCACATGGAAGCTGCTGCTACAGCACTTCATTGTCCTGACCAGATCAAAGGTAACTTGGTTGTACCCATATGGCACTACACAATATCAACACTGCTGCAGCTCATCTTTTCCTTTTGTGTTGGTATTCATCCATCTGTGCTGTCCAAATGGCCTGGTCAAAACTCTTTTAAGAGTTCACTGTAATTCTGAAAGTAGGGCAGGGGGCCAAGTAATTTTTTTTCTCCTTAAAAATGTTCTTATTTCATAAGGCTTCGTGTCTTGTCATTTACACCTAAACCATCTATGGCTGAATCTGCTGTTTGTGCCTTCCCTAAGAACTACAGATATTTTAATTTGAGCTCCTGCTACTTAATCCAGATTTGCTATAAAATGTTTGAAGTGGCCATGAGGGGGTCTTAGACACTTGTCTTAATGTCATCATAAGAAAACTAATGGCTTGTTGGTTTGTTAATACTAACCTTGTTAGCGCAGCTTGTCTGGTCATACATGCTGGCTGATCTTTAAATCCTAAGTTAGACAAGGCTTGCCATGCAAATTCTGGAGGCTACAAACATCTCATAAGAATGTAAAGCACACCTCCCTAAATAATTGGTAAATTTTAAGACTGTAGTACAGGAATTTGAACAGGTATATAACCCCACCCTCTGTTGTTTTGGTTGGTTGGTTGGTTGGTTGGTTGGCTGGTTTTGTTGTTTGGGGTTTTTTTTTAAAGACCAGGATATATTATCAAAAAGTAGCAAATCCAAAGTCAGTTTTGGAAAGAAGGGTTTTAGACTTAAACTGTTGCTTTCAGATCACTGGCAAGTTTAAGAGGCTGGATGAAGAGCAGAGGCTGAACATAGCTTGTACATTGTCAGATCATCTCTGGATTTTATTTTTTTTTAAATCTGACAGAATTTTATGGAAAAGGAGCCCCATACAATGCTTTGGTTGGAAAAGACTCAACAAGAGGAGTTGCAAAGATGTCTCTGGATCCAGCAGATCTTACACATGACACAGTAAGAAAATGGACCATTGGTTTAATTCCATTTTTCAAAGTTAAATTATTTTGAAAGATGATGAATAATAATTTTAAATTACTTGTATTTAAAACCAAAATACATTAATATTCTTTAAATACATAAAATAGGTATGTATTTACTGCTCAAGAAAGGTGCTAACAGCCTTCAAGAGGAGAGGTTTTTATCTGTGGAATCAATACAACTTACGTAAATGTGTAAAGGGAAAATCACCTGCTGTTTAAAAATGCTCACAAAGAGAGTAAATAACTTTCTTTGTCAGCTGGTTTAGTGTATCCTGTGTCACTGACGTGGCAGTGGATGCTAACTCTGGCAGTGGGTTTTTACGTAGTTGAGATGTGATTTACTTATGGGAAAATGAAGGGAGGTTAGTGGTTTGTTTGACCTGAGTATATTAAAGTATATTAAAGTTTTGTCAAGGCTGAATTTGAATGAAAAGAATAAAATTACAAATTATACAATTAAATTTGGTCATCATGCTCTGCAAAGTAAACCCAAAAGCTGACCCTAAGTTTTATAGTAATCAGTAAAAAAGAAAAAATGCATATAAATATCTATATTTTTATTTCTTTGAGACAGGACTTTCATTTCCCTATTTTGTTTAGACAGGACTCACAGAAGAGGAACTGAAGTCCCTGGATGATATCTTCAATAATGTTTATAAGGCCAAATATCCAATTGTTGGCTATACTTCTCGACGAATTCTGAATGAGGATGGCAGCCCCAACCTAGACTTTAAACCTGAAGATCAGCCACATTTCAACATTAAAGATGAGTTTTGAGGAACATTTTTGTACCTACAGAATGCCTGGGGAGAGGCACAGTAGAATATTAGATTGATTCTATGTTCTGTAGTTCATTACAACAATTAGCTATCACAAGCCCGTTTTCTGTTCAGAAAATATGTATGTGTGTGCAGGCATAGTTTAGAGGAAACAAACAGATCTGTAGCAGTGTCATATACTTGGGCTGTTTGCTGTGAAATATGGGAATTGTTTAACAGGCAAATTCTTTCTGCTTGGACTTCTCTGTTTACAAGTGTGTAATGTAAAATTTTATTCCTTAGAAGAGAGAAGGAAGGTTTTAATAATTGAAACATGACCAGTCGTTTTGTAAATCCCAAATTGTTTCTTACTCCTTGGAAAAGTGTGAATGCATTATCTAGACAAGCTAAAGTCAATTCTCTGTGCTTCATGTCAGGGTAGGTATCACAAGTACAAAGAGGTGCAATAGAGGCTTACATTTTAAAAAGCATTGTGGGGTTTAATATTTGATAGGTTTGAGAATACTGGATAAAAAGCAACTCGGTCTCTTAAAATGCAGTTACTGTAGAGTATTTCTGCAAAGCCTACAGGTGTAAACCAAGAAAAATAAATCTTATTTTCCCCATGAGAACTACTGTGACATTTTAAATATGACTATTATGTTATTTTTGGATAAATGACACTTTAATTTTTAAAAATAATTATCAAAGATGTCATCTATATTAGATTATGATTATTTCCTTCTAGCTCCCTCCACTCTTTCTCTGACAAAAAAAGGAAATGATAGCCCACTGTTTACCTCATACTCTTACAGCACAAGTTTATTATAGCAGTTTAGTGTCCTGTGGATATTGTTAGCATCTTTATATTGACAATTTTAGCAATTTCAGCTCTGATTTTTTGTGTCTCTTAGTTTTTCTTTGTTCTTACTCTGGCTTCATCATTGCTGTTCTAATGAATCGTGCAGTCCCATGTTCCTCTTCCATTTAACCTAATATGAAACTGCAGATCCTGTAGGGTGAAAGCAGACCCCATTTATTGTCTTTCCTCGGAAAGACAAAACCACATTTATTGTGTTTCCTTGGCAGTCTTTCAGCAACAAGAGGACCATGAAAGCCTGTGCTATATAAATTGCTGCTAACCACTGACTTCCACTAACTTAAGAGGAACGTGAATTGTCATGAATGTGGATTTATCTGCCACTGTGACAGTTTGAATTGATATGGGAGAAACTAAGCAGCTGCTCTAACTATAGAATATTATTCTATATTAATAATACAAAAATAATAAAAATACAATTATATATTTTTGTTCTCTTTCTTTAGCATTTTGGCCATTTTCTCTGAAGGGAAAATTTTATTAGGTGATTCTCCACTTTCTAGTTTCCAGGGGACAGCTGCCTGTCAGTTGAATAACTAGAAAAGCTGTTTCTATGCATTGTCCATCCTTTTACAGTGTTGCTGATTTTATTCTAAACTTGTTTTGTAGTTTAGACCACTTCATTTGCAGGAGGGACTCCATGGGCCCCCCTGCTGTTGGATGGTGCTCTGGGTAGAATAAATAAATTGGCATCTCAGAGATTATTGATTCAGATTATTGCTTTTGTATTATTATTTATTATTATTACTGCTGACCTTTTGATTAGATACCAACAGCAGTTGGGAGTTTGCTCCTTGGTAATACCTGCCATCTTTATAGGAATGCATGTGGGTTTAGTGGTAATGGTGGGTGGTTGGTTGCCAGCATTTCACAAATAATTTTCTCTTTCTCTTCCCTTCCTTGCATGCTTTTTTATGGGGCAGCTTCAGTAGTTGTGCTACTATGATTATTGTAAGAGTTTTTGCTTCATCTGGAACCGTCATATCCGGCTGCATTTCAAAAATGTTGTAGCTGATTGCAGCTCATCACCACTGAGTGCCTTAGTGTTACTGTTCTCTCCCCGCTTTCCCTGTTCTCACTATGAAGGTCACCTTTGCTGATCTCAAAGCAGATATCTCAGCTTCTATTTGTACTAAATTTCAGGTTCTTTTCAGTGAAGAAATGCTCCTGTTGCAACAGGAAATGGTGATACAAACCCCCTCTTGTAATGCAAGATCCTTGCGAATCCAACCTGCCCCCACTCGTGTTTGTGAGGGAGATGCTTTAGTCCGTCCATTCTGTTATTAAAGACAAGATTATCACAACTGAGTGCACTTTTTGTTTGTATTTCAGTTTGGGAACTGGAGGATTCACATTTAATCACTTCCTAGGCTATTTCACTTGGGGTTCCCACTCAATAGAAGTGTGATGGTAATAAGGCTTTAAGTGGACATACATCCTTAGCACGTTTTTACTGACTGCTTTTTAAAAATGCATTGAGTACTCCAGTATTTCTTTTAGTGTTAAATTAACAACACTGTTTTATGTCTAAGGTTCTTTTACTTGCCAACAGCCTGAAATTTATTTTGCTGTCTGCTATGGCTGTTTTGTTCAGTCAGCTGCATTTCCCTGACCTCTGTATATTCCAGTAAAACAGGTGCCCTCACAATCTATAAATTGCACTCAAAACAAGCTGTTTAACCTCCTTTGGAAAGTGTAGAATTTCTTTTCAATTTACTTGCTGCTTCCAGATAACATTGCAAATATTATTATTTTTGCTGTACTGCTTCCAACATGCATCTTTAATGAATTACTGCATCAAGAATTGCCTGACTTTAGTATTTAATAATCGTTGAGCCTATCTAGGTAAGAAGTATCAGACGGGTTCGTTCACTTAGAGGATGCATAACCTGAGTTGCTGTTTCCCAGCCGGCACTCTTTTCAGTAGTCCCTCACTTTGATCCTAACATATTTGACTAATTTTTGTGACAGGATAGATTCTATCATCCCTGCTTTAAGACTTCTCTGTTTAACAACTGGAGCATCAGGACTACAAATATAAGCAACCATAATTCAATGAAGGGGTTATGAAATGCAAATGAAAGTATTATCTTTATTTTTGCAGTTGCAGAGACTGCAATTAAGAGAAATCCTACCAAGAATGTGTGTGTTAGCAGCTGTTAGTCACAGTTATTAGTTATTGCATCCTAATCTAAACAAGACCACCTGCCAGAACACAGGGGCTCTGAATCCTGCAGACTGAGCAGCTGAGATTTTTCCAAGAATTTGGGATTACACATAAAAAGAAGTTATTTCTTTCCTAACTCTAATGTGTATATGAACACTAATCTTTTTGTAGTCCTTTACCAAAATATGAGTTTTTCATTGGTTTAAAAAAAATCAGATTTTGTATTAGTTTTCTTATGCAGAAAAGGCCTTGTGTTTCTTTGAAAACTGCAGCCTCAGCTACTGTCTTTGTGGTCTGATGATACTGCTGGCTGTGAATTCATAACAGGAGTCAATGTAGGATCATGTTTCAGACTGCACTTGTCAGACCTGCCAGACTTTCATGTTTCAGTAAAAACTAAAAGAAGATGCTTATCTGTTTAAATATAGCACCTTGGAATGGGAGAAGCCTGATCACAGTTTGTAAATCACCTTCTTTTACTTTTGTTTCAAAACTACCGTCAGGCAATATACTCAACAAATGATAATTTGGAAAGGCATTAAATTGCTGCAGTTTTCTCTTGCAAGACTCCCAAGAACCTGTAGAACAAGAAAAAAAAAGGTTTAGCTGACTTTCCCATATGTATTCTGTCTCTTTTATTGATCAATATATTTATCTGAAACGAGCTTAATGTAATTTGCATCTGCTCAAGAGAAAAAGGAAGAGATGTGAAAAATTTCACAGAGGAAGTCCAATGCTAATTTTTCAGCTGATCTTGTTGAACTGAAAGGAAAAAAGTCAAAAAACATCTGACTACATTTGTTAGTGAAAAAACTGCCATTCAGAAGGATTCAGCTGCACATCAGTAAGATGTGCTAAGTAGCTCTGATTAGTATTTGCATATTTTCAGATAAACACTGGATATTCTCAGGGATACCTTGAAATCACAGAACTGATGTAAGTGATGACAATCGTACGCTTCTATTATCCATCATCCATTTATGCTTTTGCCTAATGTTTTTTCTGTCCTTACAGGAAACAATATCCAAACCAAGCAACTTATATGACACATACACACACCGTAAGTAATAATCTGATAAAGTAAAATGATAAAAAAACATGAACCTATAACCTGAAAGCTATTTACATGGTATATACGGAATGGCTGTATACCATCAATCCTTGTCTCTGAATGCTTTAAAACAAACAAAAAAATCCCTAAACTCTTAAATTTGTAGTAACTGTTTCACTCAGAGCTCCATCTGCAAATGCCAGTTCAGACAGCTATAATATACAATGTGTCTGCTTTGACAGAACAATCAGTGCCATATGAAAAGGGGGTGCTTTTGAGATTCAGTTCTCTATTGAGAGTTCTCTATTCAATCACAGTCTCAAAGAACTAAGTCTATGATAGGTGGGTGTCACTGCTAGGAGTACACTTATAGCATAGGCATGATTCTGATCTTGGCATGACCAAAAAAACCCCTAACTCAGAAAACAGAATAGGTGGGAAATGAGAATATATCTTAGTGTGCTACTGGGACAATTTATACTGGCAAGGTAGATTTGGCAGAGCAGGTCTGATAACAGACAGTGCTTCCTATTTTTGCTTCTGTCAAATGTGGTCAATGATAACAATGTAAACTACTACCCATCTGTTGGTCTTTATGTAACACCTTCTGCTTTAGCTTTTTTTCTTCCTGTTTAGTAGAAGGTGTGAGTCCTAATTTACTTGTTTACAAAACTTACGCTTAGACCTTGGCTTGGGTCATCTGTTGACAAGAAATCCAAACTAAGAGAAACAGAGATTAATGTTCTGTGAAAAATAGACCTTTGTGCACCTGGATAAACTGCAGAGCCACAGGAAGTACTCTGGAATAAACAATTCCTATTACTGTTTCCTGTAAGTTATTTGTAGCTGTTGCCATTAGAAATTCTGTACTGTTAATGAATGTTCAGATTACCATGTTCTGCAGTAATTCTTGACATGATCCTTTATCATTGTGACACGAGATATATCCTTCTGAGAGGTCCAAAGTTTAAAAGAAACAGAGTGCAAGCCATCTTGGAGATAAGCCAGCCAAGAAAAATCAAAATATGACCTAATTTTCCCTCTACTTCAAGAAACCTCTCTGAAAAAGGAAAAATAATTAGTGTCCCAGTGTCTATATTTTACCTTCCAGATTTTGCTGAAAGTTTTCTCATACTGTGCAAAGGCAGCAGATAAAGCAGAGGCTTGGATCTAACCCTTTCATTGGGAAAATTTTAATCCATTTCTTGGCATATCTCCTGGGGCTTTAAAGATTATGACAACCCTGATAGTGGACTATAAAGAGTCAAACACATGAACTGAATCAAAACAGGCCTAAACAGAAATGTCTGAATCTAGAGCTGAAACTTACAGCTTTGCACCCTTCTTTTGTAGACAACAAAATCTCTGGATAAAAAAATCCCTTAAAGGTAGCATTTGTTTCAGCCAGTTTGGGCAGAACAGAATTAGATGATGACTGAAGTGAAAACTTCCTTGTGCCTGTGCAGCTTTGCAGAGATCCTAAAATCATTTGTGTTGCATATGCAGAGCTTAGTTACCAAGCAATTAAATGCTTGGAGGATAACTTTATAGATTAAACAGATAACTGGTTCAAAATAGCCGTGGCAGATCAAGAGTATCCTAGGACGTTACTCGTCTCGTTGGAGGCTGTGGCTACATAGCCTTTAATTTTACATTGCAGTGCTGTTTTGCTAATGATCACAGAGAAAGTCCAAGTACACTCAGACTTCTTAATTACATTTAACCCTTTATTAATTTTTATGTTTGAGCAAAGCTCCTAGAAACTTTTTTTATAAGAATAAATATTGCAAAAATGTGTTTGCCAAAAAATATTTGCAAAAAAGCAAAGTGCTCATTCTGAACTGCCAAACTGTGCAGCAGATCTAAGTGTATTTGTGGCAAGGGTGTTAATCAAAGGGATTACATGTTTAAATTGAGATTACATTAGGTAACATGTCTCTGTCCTACATTATGCTTGGAAGTGCCTCAAGGATTTAACTGATTTTTTCCTTATTTATTGTTTAACCATGCTCTGTACTTTAAAATAGTTCTGCAATACTTTTTAAGAACAGGACAGTAGGCCTTTCAAGGCATTTGTGAAGTATTCTTTTGCTACAGAGAGAAATACATGTTCACTTGAGATACACAACAGAGTGATCTAACAATTTAGACAAAGGCAACAATCTTACAGTCTTTTAGAACTTGTTGTATTCCATGTATTTCTTAAAGCAAACAGATCACAAATAGCCCCCCGACACAATAAAAATGGTAGACGGAAATGAGTTTGTAGAGATATCTGAAAAGTTCTCAGCATTAATGCACAAAAGACCAACATAGCAATTTTAGTAAACTTGAAAGGATTTTAAGAACACATGCTTACCAGGGATGTTTGACATGGGCTGAGCCTCTATGATTCTACATGTTAAATATTACATATTGTCCCTAAATTCCTTCCTATTTCCCTGACTGGTCTCCTTTGAGTTTACCATGTCTTGCAGCTGGAAGGAAACAGGCTGCTGAAAGGTTTGTATGTGAAGCAGTAGCATATCAGTGGAATATAACAATCTGAGGCAGAGGGAAGCAAGGTGAGTGAAACTCTACTTATAAGAAGCAGCAGGAGATTATAAATAACTTAAGGAGAGTACAGTTTCAGAAGAGGTGAAACTTGCTGATGCACTCAGAGATAAGGTTGAACTTGAGAACAGGAAAGTGTGACATCCTCCTTGGATACAGTTCTGGGGAAATCAGCATGAATTAAACAGTTTGTGAGTGCTGGCTCCTTGCTTGACATCCTCAGTCTCATTTTCCAAAAATACTGATGCCTTTGGCTTTGATACCTTGCAGGTGCCTGGATTCATGGTAAGTCATACTGCTGCTATTCAGTCCACAACTTACCAATTTTTCTCATTTTGTCTTTAAATGATCCCCATTCCAATTTAAGAAAGAAGGCTGGAGTTTTGCCAATGAAGAAGTGACCAGGGACACAGAAATGAAGGTGCAACTCAGCTTCACTACAGCTTTGCAATCCTTAATGACAGGTTTCCTGGCTGTTAAATAAGCTGGCATTTACCTTGAATTCCCTTTGTCTTTTATCATTATTGGGACTT